AAGTATGTTTCTTTCAATAATTAATGATAGTTTTCGTCATGCGAAAGGCAATCAAGAAGAAGATCAAATTATATTATCGTTTATGCTAAAGAAATTTTTACGATGGACAGGTAATGTTATTGATTAGAATGACAATGTTATTCATTTGTATGATTATTTAGGATTGAAGAAACCAAGTGAATCAGAAATTCAAGAAGAGAAAGATTCTCGAATGCGTTCACAATATTTTCATCCAACTGACAATTTTGCCGATAGAATTGATCAATTATTAGAAGCACTTGATAAAGTATGTTAACATCAGAAGTATTTCTATCTCACATTATTTTGTATTACTTCTAGATTTATGTCGATCAACAAGCAGATTTATTAAGATTGAAAAAAGCTGGAGTTTAAAGTGTTGTTTTGCAATTATGATCATCGGCAGATAATTGATACAGGATACTCAATTTTTGGCAAATTCTAAAGCTTTTTGTACGCGTGTGTTTCTAGATATTTTACATGCTCATATGATTTTTGCTTAAATAAATCTTTAAAATTAACTATGTGTAACTAATGTATGAAAAATGTAAATAATTCCTTGATGAATGTTTATAAAGGATAATGTGAATTAACAAAGAATTTTGTAAAAAAGTATCCCACATTACTCGGTAAGACTCTTTCATATATTTTAACCGCTAAAAGCACCACTGATTGTGTTGTGTTATACGTGATACAAAAAAAAGGTTACCCTACTTTACACATTTGTTACTCATAGAAAAAAAGTAATCATTGAAGCCTCAAACACTACTATTCATAAGAAAAGTTTTTATTCAACATCAAAGTGCGGAGACAGAACGATGAAAACTTTTTATTTTTCTCGCTCACAAGAAAACAGACACGCACGTCCGTCTTGAGGGTGGGTGTGGATGTGGTATAAGAACTACAATACCAAACACCCACATCGATTATTTACCATATTCTAATGAGAATTTCTATGAAGAATTCGAAGATATTTTGAGGATGGATCGGGTTACGATCTCTGTACTTAAACACTCATCCATACCCACACCTTTGAGAAAAACTACTATTTTTTTGAACTAATGCAATTTATTAAATAAATTGTTCAGTTTTTGTTAATGTTTAGCTGAAAAACGACTCCAGATTAAACGGGACGAGTTCATAGTCAATTATACAAATCAGTTTGACTGAAAATGAAGTTAGCGAAGATGCACAAAATAATAAGGACATTTGAAAGAAAAAAATCATTAAAAACTCTAAAGATATAAGTCGATAGAGTCCAATGGAGACTTCCGATTTCAAGTCCGTGTGTTGTTGTGTGTAGTGTAATCAAACGAAAGTAACAGAACCCAAGCCACTTCCAGTGACCGAGAACATTCCAGTTTTACCCGGCTTCTTTGTTGTCACAACCAAAATGTACTTATGTTTAGAACGAAGAAATACTTTGAGTTGAGACTTATGTTCCTCACTACTATCACCGTCGTTGTGAACTAAATTTTGTTTGGGTTTTGAAGAATTAAAATTGTCTTTGTAGATATAGGCATACGTGTCAATACGGCTTTTGATCACGATGATATAGCTTCCATTCGTCGACACATTAATTGGGATAGCTGCAAAGTAGAAGTCTGGTACTGAACACTTCTTACTTAGACGGCAATACTTTGGATTACTTGCATTTAACGATGATGAGTACGGTGATTGCATAATGGATGTGGTTGCTATTCAACAAAAAATGAAAAGAATATTGATAATTTTTGAGTATAGGTGTGTTAAACGAAAAATTATATTTTCAATAAATAACTCATTGTCTCCGGTAGCGAGTAAGGCAGTTCTAATGACCAATTATGTTGAACAATCCTGCTTCAGTCGCTGCAGATTATGTCATGCTAAGTCCAAAAGTCTACGGAATGTAAAGTCTACTTCTCTACGTTACTACACGGTTACACTAAACAAAGACTGCGTAATAAATTGAGTTCTCACTTGTTTGTTTTGTTGTTTTTATTTTTCTTGTAGTTGTTTTTTTTGTTGTTGTCGTTTTTGTTGTTGTCGACGAAAGAGTGGTTGTTAGAGGAAAGCTTACAGATGTTGGGCCAGATGCAATGATTGAAAATGATCCTGTCACGTTCGGGGAGTTCGTCGTCGCAACCAATATATACTTTGTCCCAGATTGAAGATGAACTTTGAGCTTAAACTGCTTCTTTTCACCACTATCATTATTTTCTGTAAGTAAATTCCGATGCGGATTGGACGGATCGAAACTATTTATGTAGATATATCCGTACGTATCAATATGACTGTTACTAGAAAATTGATAATTGCCAGATGTGGTCACGCTCACTGTTGCAGCTTCATAGTAGAAATTACCTTGGACACAAGCAACACGACAATAAGATGGACTGATTGTAGTAAACTCAGATGAATGTTTCGATGTAATGTATACAGGGAATTTTTCTATTTATCAGAAAATAAAATTGATATGAAATTGCACGTTATGTATGTAAATAGATGAAAATAGTTTATGAAGACATTTTCAAGGGTAAGTCACACACAAAGCTATCTTTGATTTTTTTTTTATATAGAATATGGCTAGATCAACTTATCAACTAAATCCCTTTCCATAAAAGTAGGTCATTCAGACTAAATTCGAAAAGTACAATAGAAAACCATGAATTTTCCAAAATTCTTCTACGAGAACTTAAAGATCTTAAAAGTTGTATAGCTGAAAAATGAAGGCTCTTCTAGTGTTTCATTAGGTTTTCTAATAGAAGAATTCGTTCTATCAACAAAAATCGTTAGATTTTTAGGTAAGGTGCGAAATAGAGACTGTAAACAACCGATGTAAACGAAATTAGAAGAACCAGCCCTTTAAATGCTGCAAAGTGTAAGAATTTATTGGCTGGAGTGTGATATTGACTATATCTTTTATTAGGAAATCGTATCCTTTATATAGTACTCAGAATATTCAGTATTCTCTATTAAAAAAACTACCACATTATAAGAAAGTAATCACATGATATGAAAGTACTACATCATACACAGGCCATCATTTCGATTGGCACAACAAGTGCATTCATACCAGTATCCGACACGTGTGCAGAGTTCTCGAGTGTTTTAAAAAGCAGGAAAGAAAAAACATTCGAGAGAAAGTCAAGCATGCTCTCAGTTTTTATCTGGATTCCTGCCCGTATGGGACATAGATTCATACTGCGGATTGCACAAGCGTTCAGGATTTAACCTAGAACGCATTTATATAAAGTTTCAGTTCAGTAGACGTTAGAGATTCAAAAATGTCGAACGCCGGACCTTTGTGAGCGGTACTATATTAGAATATTTACTCATAAAAAGGCCAGCAGTGAGTGCACATGCCAACAAGACGATCGCTGATAAAATCATGATTAGAATACAGCATCGACGTTGGCAACATAGGCCTTCGTGTAACACATGACATGTTTTGCCCTTCGTTATTAGAACTTTGTTGTTGACAGGCGTTATCCGTGGATTTCGATTAGCCATTGATTCGTCATGTACGTCAATAGATGCCGTCAGGCTAGGTCTTCGATCAACTGCATCTTTCACATCATAATTTGGTAGTAAGTCGTCAATATTCAATGGTTGTCGTGTAAGTGGACTCGTACCATGCTCTTTGATCCATCGTACGATTGCTTGACGTTCATATGTATGACCGTCTGCAGCTTGGACAGGGTCTCGAAAGACTCGAAGTGTAATCGGACAAACTAAGTCGTATTCCTCTGGACGATTTTGCGGAGCAGCTTGCATGTTTAACTGTGTTTCTCTCTATTGCTGTACTCCTAACGTTATTAATGGCAGCAGTAAAATGGCGTTGCAAGAGAAAAACACAGAAACGAAAAAAAAACAATCATGCAAGGCGTTTGTTTGACTATGATAAAAACTGTTTGGTAGAGAATATTATCAGTACAACGTCAATAAAGCATAAAAAGCTTATTGAAGAAAAGAGAAATTTTTATTATATTATTGCTTTTCATCTCATTGATTGTTCGTTAAAGATTTTTATTGTATACACGGCTGATTTTTTATTATCAACTATCGGTATATATGAATGCAATTGCAGCTTTATGATACAATTGAGATTTTAACTGTATTCGAGTAATAAAAATTCTTCATCTTGGTCGATCTTGATAATTTTTGTATGTTACACTGCTCTGACTGTTCCACACTCACATCGTTGTTTATGTATGAGGCTCACGTTGTGAAACAAAAAAGAAGCTAGCGAATAGTATATTTAGTAGAGCTTAAAGTGTTCTAGAAAATTATACATCTTTCGCATTTCTATCTCTCTCTTTCCAAGCCCAATCGCAGCGATTTGTTACTGAATTATAGTGTGACTTCCTCATCTGACATAATCATCGAAAAGGCTTGAATGAGTGCAAACCTATTTGTAGAAAAGTATCTTTTCGTTCGGGCGAATTATAACGAACTTCCCCGCTGAAATGACTTAATGTTGATCACCAATCGTATAAATTAATTGATATTTAATATGTAACATTTTATCAGACTCATCTAAGACATCACAAGCATATGCTTGTTTCCATTGCCAGACTGTCAACATGGAACCATCAGTATTATAAATTCATTTCATTGACATTTATCTATATTGAGCGCATAAGTGGTTGTTTGGTCTATATATTGCGTCACGTGTGGGGTGTGCTGGTGTAAGATAAATATAATATATCTACAGCCACACTCATAAATCTATCTTAGAGATTTCCTGTAACTGGGATTGTTCTTTGAATATGTTCATTTTCGACGTTTTCGCAATGTATCAGAAGCGTCATATGGTAAGACAAAGTTGAACAAGAGTGCGAATGTAATTGAATGATATTTTTAGACGATCACCTATTGTTTCTACACACCCATCTCCATAGAAGTCAAATAATAATCTTAAATTATTCGCAACTAAAATAATCTTCTCATGCGAATCTAATGAAATTTTTTTTATTATTATGTCGACGGTGTGAATGTTGATGAGAGCAGAAATGAATACCCACACCCACAAGATAGAAATATATTCTTAAATCTTCCTCGATAAAAAAAGATCGCAAGACAAATTATTGAAAAACATGTGAAATCTAGAAAATGTGTTACGTCTGTAGTAGAGTAACTGCAATAAACTATTCAGTATTGTATTATGATGTTAGAGAAAGATAGATAGCTATCAAAAATAAATTAATGAGAGTTAATCTCATCTGCAACAATACTCTGCCGACCTTCATTCTATATGTTTACAAGATCATGTTACAATGCAGTGCGTACGGAAGCGTTTTTGTTTTAATTTTCATTTTTCCAACAAAGACAACACATAAAAAGTTTGATCACTTTGAAAATCTTCTAAAAACGACACTCTGATTATTTTCTTAAATACAGAAAAACGAAAAACTAAGTGAATAGATCGCTACTTATACGGTAGACGAATGTTGAAGTGATTGACTATTGATTATTTGCTATCTTCAATCATTAATATCAATATTTAGTAGTGAACTCAAATACTTTTTATGATATTCATTCAATATCTTGTTACATCAATAAACTTTAATGACATTGATTATGCATTCATTTGTATTACGTTTTAATCCCACCTTCAACATTATCGACTCTGCTAAAAAAGTATATGATTATTGCTATTGTATGTGTCATATATCAAGAAGTAATCTTGAAATCAAACTATCTATGTCTCATCCCATGTGTGTGTGTGTGTACACTAAAACCGAAACATATTCTTATATAATATATTTCACAAATGATTTCGAAACATACATCTTTAGACATACAACCAAACCTTCTCTCTCTAAACCTCATCCACTCTTATTCTGATTATATTTCTATTACAATGAAATGAAAGCTATTCTATGATGAAATTAGATTCAAAATATAATTATACCAGTTTTCTAGCAAATATACAAACTGATTAAAACTCATGCTATTCTTTTCACTTTAGTACCACACCAACGTACAATCAAACACTCACCAGAACAAATTTTACATAAACCTATAGATTCTCAGTCATCAACCATGCTCATGAATTCCAGACCGAACGCTAGGTAAAGATCGATTGTTTCACGATCCTATACGTGACGCACAAGATCAAGGCGACCTTTCCAATGATCAGCTAGTAACTCTCTATCTCTCATCCATTTATACATCCAAAGATATTCCGATCTTATCACAAGATCGCATTTTACATGGCCAAATTCTCATCTTTCTAAAGACACTTTCTGCTTGCTGTTAATCAATTAGTCAATACACATTATATCAATCTACTATTTCTAAAATACATGCCATTCTAAACAACTATATACAATTTCATACTATACTATAATCTCCAATCAACTACAATAAATATGACTCTAAAAAATGCACCACATGAACAGCGGCACCTCTCAATAAAATCCCGATCTCAATTATATTGTTAAAAAAGCGCAAATAAAGTGAACGTTTTATTGGTATATTATTATACTGATAAACAACATATAAATTTATCCAAAAATCCATTAATAGTTTTTTAGTAGTGATCAGTATATCGTCGATACCAGCATTTATAATTTTGCCACTCTTTTGTTCTGTTCAATGATTTCATGGATTTCACTTATGAATTCGAGACTGATATTATTTTTCTCGAGATTTAATACGATTAGTGTCTGTATGAAAAAGTACTGGTGGATAAATGAAATAAATGAGGAAGAGAATAATACTTACCGTATTAGTTTGTAATGCATCTGCTATATGCTGTGCTCCAACATCTCCAATTTGATTCTCTTTGAGATCTAATGTGCTAAGTGTCTGTATTAAAGAGTGCAGATGGATATATGGAATAGATGCGGAGGAGAATGATAGTTACCATATTAGTTTGTAATGCATCTGCTAGATGCTGTGCTCCAACATCTCCAATTTGACTCTCGTCGAGTTGTAATGTGGTAAGTGTCTGTATAAAAAAAGTGCAGATGAATATATGAAAAAGGTAAGGAAGAGAATAATAAATACCATATTAGTTTGTAATGCACCTGCTAGATGCTGTGCTCCAACATTTCCGATTTCATTGCCGCCGAGATCTAATGCGATAAGTGTCTGTATGAAAATATACAGATGGATATATGGAATAGGTGAGGAGGAGAACGATAGTTACCGTATTATTTCGTAAGGCATTTGCTACATGCTGTGCTCCAACATCTCCGATCCAATTGTAACAGAGCCTTAATATAGTAAGTGTCTATATTAGAAAGTGCAGATGGATATATATGAAGCAGATGAAGAAAAGAATGATAGTTACCGTATTATTTCGTAATCCTTCTACTAGACGTTGCGCTCCAACAACTCCGATTTGATTACCGCTAAGACTTAATTTGGTAAGTGTCTGTATGAAAAAGCGCAGATAGATATACGAAATAGATGAGGAAGACAACGCTAGGTACCGTATTATTTCGTAATCCATCTGCTATATGCTGTGCTCCAATATCTCCAATTTGACCAAATCCCAGATTTAATGTGATGAGTGTCTGTATGAAAAAGCGCAGATAGATATACGAAATATATGAGTAAGACAATGATAGTTACCCTATTATTTCGTAATCCATCTGCTATATGCTGTGCTCCAACATCTCCAATTTGACTGTCTCTGAGATTTAATGCGGTAAGGGTCTGTGAAGGAGAACAGAGATGAATTTATGAAATAAATGAGTAAGACAATGATAGTTACCGTATTATTTCGTAATCCATCTGCAATGTGCTGTGCTCCAACATCTCCAATCTGATTCTCGCCGAGATCTAATGTGGTAAGCGTCTGTATGAAAAAGTACAGATAGATATATAAAATCGACGAGGAAGAGATTGATGATTACCGTATTATTTCGTAATCCATCTGCTATGTGCTGTGCTCCAACATCTCCGATTTGATTGTGTGTGAGATCTAACGTTGTAAGTGTCTGTATGAACAAGTGCAGATTGATATACGGAATAGATAAGGAAACAAATGATAGTTACCCTATTAGCTCGTAATAGATCTGCTATGTGCTGTGCTCCAACAGCTCCAATTTGATTCTCGTAGAGACCTAATGTGGTAAGTGTCTGTATGAAAAAGTGCAGATAGATGTACGAAATAGATGAGGAAGACAATGGTAGTTACCGTGTTATTTCGTAATCCATCTGCTATATGCTGTGCTCCAACATCTCCAATTTGATTCTCTCTGAGATCTAATGCGGTAAGTGTCTGCGAAGGAGAGCAGAGATGAATATATGAAATGGATAAGTAAGACAATGATAGTTACCGTATTATTTCGTAATCCTTCTACTAGACGTTGCGCTCCAACATCTCCGATTCGATTATCGGTGAGAATTAATACGGTGAGTGTCTGTATAAAAATATACAGATGGATATATGGA